AGCAAACTCGCCTGACCTGAACCCCATAGAGAATCTATGGGGCATTGCCAAGAGAAAGATGAGAGACATGAGACCGAAAAATGCAGAAGAGCTGAAGGCCGCTATTTAAGCATCCTGGTCTTCCATAACACCTCAGCAGTGCCACAGGCTGATAGCTTCCATGCCACGCCGCATTGAGGCAGTAATTGCTGCAAAAGGGGCCCAAACCAAGTACTGAGTACATATGCATGCTTATACTTTTCAGAGGTCCGATATTGTTCTATGTACAATTCTTGTTGTATTGATTGCATGTAATATTCTAATTTTCTGAGATTGTGGATTTGGGGTTTTCATGAGCTGTAAGCCATAATCATCACAATTATGTCAAATCCGGCTTGAACTATCTTTCTTTGCATGTAATGAGTCCATCTCATATATTAGTTTCACCTTTTAAGTTGTATTACTGAAATAAATGAACTTTTGCACGATATTCTAATTTTTTCGAGTTTCACCTGTATATGGTAACAATTTGCCAGAATTTTACTTTATATCTTTTTTTCATGTGTTTTATCTTAGAGGTTAATGTATTAAAAATACATGAAAATTTATTTCTGGCCATAACAACTTGTTAGCATCCAAATGCATTTTCTGCAGTACAGAGTTAATTCAAGCAATATATAAAAAAAAAATGCAATATATTGCGGTTTACCAGTCCTTAAATGTGATGACTGCATTAGTTTCCTTTTTTTGGGCTTTTTTTTCCTTCGGTTTTACTTGGTGATCTGGCCAGTAACACACTTCCTGTCTTAGGGTAGCTCCACTCTGCATGGAGAAGCAACAGAGACACCCTTGGACAGCAGCATTGTCAGTTTGGGGGAGAATAGTGTTGTACTAGCAGATTTAGATGCACTTGACTAACAAATTGAAGCTGAACTCCAGCTAACACTTTTTAAGCAGTCACAGCAACATATTTTTTTCCATTGTGGGATAAAGGTTTTACATAAATTAATAAATGCTGATCATTGTAAGCCCCCGTCAATGGTAAATAGTCTGTGTCAACCCTTTAACTGGACACTTTTGCTGGACAGCTTGGTCTGTTGGCAGAAGTTAAAAACAGACTTACTGAATGGATCACCAGGTAAAAAGCCTAAAAAAATGCAACCACTACACCAAGAATTGGTAAGCTGCAATATGTCACATTTTTGTTATTGGGTTCAATAGTACTTTAAGCTAAGATTCTAATTGGTTGCTATAATTTCCTTGCTAACGTCTTCCTTATACATACAACAATGGCTGGAAACAGGCACAAGTTAGTTGGTCTGTGCGTCAAAAGTGTAAGTCCAATTCTGGCAACATGTTGATCTTGGCATACAGCATTACTAGTTATCATTGTTGTCTACACAAGCTTTTATCGAGTCGCTTTGTACAAACTCTCCCAATAGATTTTCTAGGCTACATGTCAGTAAGCAACACTCATCGCTGTTTCTGGTTGGGTGACTCTGCCTGCGGCTGTTCTGATATATTTTGGAGTGAACAGATAATCACAGAAAGTTCTGTATTGAACAGGGACAATACATACTTTACATGTCAAACATATGTCCTACAGTATATAATTTATCTGTAGACACAATTTAATAATTGTAGAAGCACAGAATGTGTAAGAACTGGATTTCCTGTCTCATTTTATATTTAGTAACTGCAAGGTGCAAACAAATTGCACTGGTAAAAAACCTACAAGAAAAGTCACCTAGAAAATAACTTGGAAGTGCTTTAATTCAATCATCAGACGATGAATCATCGTGTGTGTGTGTGTGTGTGTGTGTGCGTGCGTGCGTGCGTGTTTCAGATAATAATTTGAAATGGCAATGACCAGGCAAAAAATTCTATATACTGTATCTAATATATATATATTAGATACAGTATATAGAATTTTTTTTGCCTGGTCATTGCCATTTCAAATTATTATCTGTTGTGTCCAGGTACAGCAATGGTACTAGATCTCAACTCTATGCAACTTATTAGGATTTAACCTCTTCCCGTCTGCCCATTGACAGCAGTGGCAATGAGGGCTGACATACAGGAACATTTCTGTACGTCAGCCTGCATCGTTGGCTCCTGCACCGCACAAAGAGCGCGTACCCCGGAGCCCGGTGATTGATGTGTTGCCCAAACACAGCGGATCACACTACCTCTGTGTTGGGCGATCATGTGGTGTTTTACCATGTGACTGCTGCGACCAATTACAGCACTCACATAAAAAAACAATGAAACTGAAAGTAAAGATCTCTTCTCTCTGCTCTGTCAGGCTGCTTGTACACTCACACTGTGCCCCTGTGTCCCTGATCACTGCCTCACAATATCAATAATAAATAATAAATAATGTAGGGAGGCCCTGTTACCTGTCCCAGTGCACACAAAAACACCACCATACACCATTCCAATGTTCTCATCACTGCAATATTCCAAACCAATACCCTGATCACTGCTATATGCCATACCAGCATCCTGATCACTGCCATACCCCATACTAGCATCCTGATCACCACCATACCCCATACCATCACCCTGATCACCACTATACCACATAACAGCATGCTGATCACTGCCATACCCCATATCAGCATCCTGATCACCGCTATACCATCACTCTGATCACCACCATACCACATAACAGCATCCTGATCACAGTCATACCCCATACCAGCCTCCAGATCACCACCATACCCCGTAACAGTGTCCTAGCTACTGCCATACCAGCGTCCTAATCACTGCTATACCTCATGCTAATGTACTGATCACTGCCATACCCCGTACGAACATCCTGATTACTGCCATACCTCATGCTAATGTCCTGATCACTGCCATACCCCATACCAACGTCCTGATCACTGCCATATGCCATACCAGCATCAGGCATATTAGGATCAACTGATCAATTTTCAAATATATATCCCATAGTTTGTGGACTTTATAGCTTTCACACAGACTAAATAATATAAACTGTTTTGGGTTATTTTTACCCCAAAAATGTAGCAGAATACATTTTCGCCTAAATTTATGAAAAAAGTTATCTATTTGTAAAATTTTAAAACAAAAAAACTAAGCAAAAAAATGATTTTTTTTTTTTGTTTCAAACTACTTTTTTTTTCTCATTTATATAGAAAAAAATAAAAATCCCAGTGGTGATCAAATACCACCAGAAAAACTCTATCTGTCTCAAAAAAAGATAAAAATCTCATATGGGTACGGAGTTGCATGACTGAGTAATTGTCACTCAAAGTGTGATAGTGCTGAAAGCTGAAAATTGGCCTAGACTGGAAGGGGGTGAAAGTGTCCGGACTTGAAGTGGTTAATAAAATATTTAAATTGCAGATTTTTATATAGTTAACTACTTGGTAATAGCAGTATAAGTTAAAATAGTGACGTTTTTACAGTCACAATCTACTATACAATGCTGTGAGCTTGCATTTTGACATTGTTGCTTGAACACAGGAGAATAATAGAACAAAGCTTTTTGGGTGTATCTTTTGGCATGTAATTTTAAATTGTGCATTTGCATTGTGTCATGTTACTGGAAATATTAATACTGAGGTATGAGTTTATTGCACTTGAGGCACTGCATTCTTAGAGGCGAATATACAGTATGAATACAAACAAAAAATAGTGTAGCGCAACCAAATCAACATTCAGATAACACATAAATCAATAAATAAAGTGTCAGTGGGTCAAATTCAACAAATTTCATAAATGTCCCAAAACCCAATCACCAATAAGCGTTTGATGAAAATCTCCTTAAAATAACACTCGTTTATCAATCACCTCCATCAAAAAGAAAATTGGCTGCTCACCTCCAGAATCTGACCTCTGAGCTAACTGTAGGTCAAAAGCACTTTACCTTTATGTGCATTAGTTCTCATTCAAATGCTGCTCCCCTGCAAAAACTGGTCATAGGATCACTTTTCCACTAATTATGGTGATACCCGATCCGCAAGAGAAGATTGGTATTTGCAAGGTCATAAAAAAATACCCACAACAGAGGCGTCTGTCCCGGGGGCTGTGGCGATCGGGAAGTAGACCCCCTGACAAACCAAGGGGGACAGGGAGAGGCTGAGAGCAAGAAAAGGCTCATGCCCTCACCCAGTGAAGTCACTTACTCATATAAATTAGAAGTTTCTTCATGAAACCGCCAATCCTTAAAGAGTAATTCCACTTTTTTTGAAAAAGAAAAAAAAAAAACATTCCCCTCTCGGTGACCTATGTACATTGCAAGGATTTTGTCAGAATTTCTATGAGAGAAATTATATTTTATCTTCTCTCCATCTCAAACTATAATTGTTTTAAACTTAAGAGGCCCAAAAAATCCAGAGTCACTTTCAGGTCTCAGTTCAAGCAGGATACAGTCTCGTTCCTTTGTTTTTTCTGCAAACAAAGCTATTTTACAGAGCTCATCTTGTTTAACAATGGATCTCTCCCCACATAATGTATAGGAGAGAATCATCTGATTGTCGTGCATATAGTATCTATTTGACAAATACAGAATTGAGAAAAACAAGGACACCTCAGAATAGGAACAATGGGTTTCTGTCCTACTGCACCTATTGGGCTACCTCCTAGGCTGGTATATTCAAATGTTATGAATGTATTGTGTGCCAATAGATAAAAGGGAAAGTCAGGTAGACAGAGGGGGGAAGATCAGATCATCAGATCCGATCACCATTTCATTCCATCCGATCCCATCCCATCCATCTGATCACTTTCCATAGGGACACTACCTTCCATCTGACCATTCATCTTACTACATATCCGGCACCCAACTCCAGCCTGTCCAGAGGCCATTTTGTGAGAGCTCAACTCCACCCATTAATCGGCAGCCATCGTTTGATTTACCTGAGAATTGGAGGGTAACTATAAACTGCCATATTTTTCACTCCATAAGACACACTTTTTCCCCCCCCAAAAATGGGGAAAATGTCTGCATCTTATGGAGTGAATATGGAGCGCCCAGACAGGTATTCTCGCCGCCGCCGTGCTAGAATAGCAGGCCGGCTGCTCGTCTCTTCTGTGCAGCAGAACCTGCTCCTCAGTCGTACCTGTTCCTCGGTCCAGCGGTGTCCTCACTGTCTTCTCTCCCTGGCGCCGGCATCTTTAGTGTGGGCACCCGGCTGTTACAGCTTTCGGCTTCACAGCTGGATGCACATGTGTGAGAAGCGCTGCGCTTTGTGAATGGTCTGGCAGTCTTCTAGGACCTGTAACGTGTCCCAGAAGATGGGGAGCGAGGACAACTCTGCGGAATTGGGAGCGGGTACCTGCCAAAGGTCTGCAGTCTCTGGTCATCTCCTGTACTATGTCCGCAGTCTCTGGTCATCTCCTGTACTATGTCCGCAGTCTCATCTTCTGGTCTCTGGTCATCTGCTGTACTATGTCTGCAGTCTCTGGTCATTTCCTGTAGGATGTCCGCAGTCTCTGGTCATCTCCAGTACTATGTCCGCAGTCTCTGGTCATCTCCTGTACTATGTCCGCAGTCTCTGGTCATCTCCTGTACTATGTCCGCAGTCTCTGTCATCTCCTGTACTATGTCCGCAGTCTCTGGTCATCTCCTGTACTATTTCCGCAGTCTCTGGTCATTTCCTGTACTGTGTCCGCAGTCTCTGGTCATCTCCTGTAGTATGTCCACTCCAGTCATCTTCTGTAGTATGTCCGCAGTCTCTGGTCATCTCCTGTACTATGTCCGCAGTCTCTGGTCATCTCCTGTACTATGTCCGCAGTCTCTGGTCATCTCCAGTACTATGTCCGCAGTCTCTGGTCATCTTCTGTACTATGTCCGCAGTCTCTGGTCATCTCCTGTACTATGTCCGCAGTCTCTGGTCATTTCCTGTACTGTGTCCGCAGTCTCTGGTCATCTCCTGTAGTATGTCCGCAGTCTCTGGTCATCTCCAGTACTATGTGCGCAGTCTCTGGTCATCTTCTGTACTATGTCCGCAGTCTCTGGTCATCTGCTGTACTATGTCCGCAATCTCTGGTCATTTGTTGTACTATGTCCGCAGTCTCTGGTCATCTGCTGTACTATATCTGCAGTCTCTGGTCATTTCTTGTACTATGTCTGCAGTCCATTGGTTCAGAAATTTTTTTCTTGTTTTCCTCCTCTAAAACCTAGGTGCGTCTTATGGTCAGGTGCGTCTTATTGAGCGCAAAACATGGTTTATCCTGGTAATTCTGATTGTCCAAATTAATAAGCCTAATGTCATTTTGTGGTAACGTAATTGTCTCCTTAGGATAAAATCACCCCCCACCTTTATATAGTTTAATTTTTAGTCGCAATATTATTCTTATTTTATTCTTGGGCCATATTGTCCTACGGTTTTGCGTATTTTGACACTTATTCCTTCTGCAGGGGAATAACCGCTGAAATTCCATAAAACACAGACTATTGTCTGATAGTTAGATATTAATGTTTATTTTGTCTATGGGGAGAAAATTAATTATCGATTTTATTTGTGTTATATATATATATATATATATATATATATATACGTAAACTAGTGATACGGAAACTTTTGTAAAATCTATGTAAATTACCTTAATGTCTATGTGTGTCACAATTGAGCTATTATATTATGTGTTTGTGACTTATTGTAAATAAATAATAATTTAATAATCTGTAGTCCATAATTACACTGATCTAATCTGTGTTTTAAAGGATTTTGGTTTGCTCTAAATGTCCCTGAATTATTAATTAAGTCAGTTAAATTTATTTTATAAATTATTGAAATATTTGCAAGCAGCTTTAGCTGACTGAATTAATTGTCCAGGCATTACCGGACAGAACATATTATTTTTGGAGGTACTGCTGGATGAATTATTAATCAAAAGCACAATTTTAACAAACTTATAGATTTTTAGATTCCTACCTTTTCTTATTCTGAAAAAAGCTGTTTGTGTCCATCTGCAGAGTGAATCTGTATGGGAATGGTTTTATAATTATCAATAAGCTGCTGCACTGGCAGGGTCTGCATCCCTTTAGACATGATTTCCCATAGGGAGTATCTACCAAAAATTACATTTTTGTCGCAGGGGGTGCCAAAACTCTGTCTTGTATCTTAGTGCAGACTTCTGGGAAAATCAGTAAGTCAATCACACAAACTGGAAATTACATTTCTGGGGGGACGTTCTGTACACCATCTGTGTACAAAAACACCTCCAGGTAGTCATATTGCATTGCATTTTCCAGAAAATTACAGTGCTGCAGATAGAAAAGGAAAGGTAAATTTAAGAACATTCAAATACAATAGGACTTGAGTTGCAATTATATACTATTATTTTTTTTATTTGCCAATTTCTTTCCCATGAAAGTGGAGTTACCCTTTAAGCTGTCTGGTACCAAAAACATTTCTATTGATTTATATGGGTGAATGACTTTTTTTGCTTGCTGCCTCTCCCTTTCCCCCTTGGTTTGTCAGGGGCCTGGTCCCGTCTCCACAGCCCCCAGGACAGTTGCCTCTGATGTGGGTATTTTTTGTGACCTTGCAAATACCACTCTTCTTTTTTTGGTCAGGTCAGGAAGATCATAATTAGTGGACCAGTGATCATTATGACCAGTTATCGGAGGGAAGTAGCATTTGAATTAGAACTAATGCCCTTCAAGGTAAAGCGCTTATGACCTACAAGGTCAGATTCTGGAGGTGAGCAGCCAATCTTCCTTTTGGTGCAGGTGGTTGATGTACCATTGTTGTTTTAAAGATTTTCATTGTACACTTTGGTGATTGAATTTTGGGACATTTATGAAATTTATGGTTGGATTGAACCCACTGACATTTTATTTTCTTGATTTATGTGTAATTTGAATGTTGATTTGATTGCACTACACTGTTTTTTGTTTATATTTGTGAAGAGGTTTATGTAAAGAGACCATTAGTGCTTAGCGGAACATCCAATATTGTGTTCATACATGTTTTTTCACTTTAACTTCTGATTAGGGGACTGCATAAACTTATTCACTGTGTTTTCAGTTGACATATACAGTATGGTGGTCATAAAAAATCTAAATATAGAATGGGTTGTGACAGAATGTGAATATTTAGTTTAATACACAAAGGTTTTAAAGATATTGGGAACCTTAATAATAGCCAAATCAGATGTGCAACCAGTAAAGTGCAAATATCTCATCAATACCAATGAGAGAAATGAAAAATAGACAGGTGGTTTAACTCTTTAGCACCTAAAGTATTAGCTTTGGGTGGACTGACCATAAAAAAGGAATTACAAAATACAGCAGGGAGCAATCAACTCCACTGCTGACCAGTTACATACCAGTCAATACCTGTCAAGGCCTTCAATGGAGTAAAGTAATAATCCTCTATCATTTTCCAGTTTTAGCACACTTTAAAAGTATGCAAAATTCAGAGACACACCAGTCTAAAATGTAAAAAAAGTAAAGGTTACTTATCAATGGAAAACCAGAACCTGGGATACTGCACACAACTGCCTTTAATTATATTTATTTAGCATCAAAAGCCCCCTTCATGACAGAGAATCCTCCCCCCCAGGTCAAAGGCTGCCCATCGGGTCACAGTCACCCTATATATGAGTCCCCCTAACATGTTAGTGACCACCCCATCACCGAGTCTCCTCAATACATCATAGTTCCTCCATCACAGAGCCCCCCCAATCACAGGGCCTCCCATCACAAAGCAAGCACTCCAACCACAGAGCCCCCTCTTCATATTACAGCCCTACCTTTTGACTCCTGTAGCATGTAGAGGAAACCAAACGTTTTTATTTCTGAATGCTGGGGGTGTCCCTTCATGCCATCTGCACTAGATCAGTGCTATGAGTTGCCATGCGTACTGCCCTGGAGTGTATTTAGTTGTTATGGTGCTGGTGGCCAGCCTTCCAGCAGCATGGCAATCAGGACTGATTCAGGGCAAATTAGGTCATGTGCTCACAGCACCTAGGGGGAACCCAAACGGCACCCCAGTTAAGAAACAATGGGGTACAAGATCCTCTCCCTGTTGGTTTGCTGAAGGCTTTCACCAACCAATTAAGGCATGCCCGTCCCAGGCAAATCACTTTTAGGTAGAGATCTGCTTTAAGAAAAGGGATTTATTTACTAATTGTGTATTGAGTCATAGTTTTGTTTTGAAGCCAGAATTATTTCCTCATGACTTATTTAAAAACTAAACACAAGCTTACTATAACTGATCTCTGTCAACACACTTATAGAATAATTGAAGTAAAATACTAAATTACACTAAGCTGTGGCACTCAAGAGACAGCAGAATGACCCAGGATTGTAAAGGATAAGGCAGGTTGAGTCTTGAAGCATAATTGGCTGGATTTAGTGTAATATCATTTGTAGGTCATGATCTAGCTTTCACAAAGGTTTTTTGGTTTTAGCTAAGTATTACAACATAAACAGTATCCAGTTTATTGTCTAGTAATGTCAACAGTTAATACCATTATGGCCCATTTAATTTTCATGTGCAATCTTTTCTTTCTTATTTATTAGCAATTTATTTTTTTAGTGGTCAAATGTAAAATACACTATATTCCCAAAAGTATTGGGACACCCCTCCAAATCATTGGATTCAAGTGTTCCAATCACCTCCATGGCCACAGGTGTATAAAATCAAGCCCCTAGGCATGCAGACTGCTTCCACAAACATTTGTGAAAGAATGGGTTGCTCTCAGGAGCTCAGTGAATTCACGCGTGGTACTGTGCTAGGTTGCCATCCGTAAAATTTCCTTGCTATTATTCCACAGATCAACTGCTAGTAATATTATAACAAAGTGGAAGCAACTGGGAACAACAGCAACTTAACCACAATGTAGTAGGCCACGTAAAATGACAGAGCGGGGTCAGCGAATGCTGAAGCACACAGTGTGCAGGAGTCACCAACTGTCTGCAGAGTCAATAGCTAAAGACCTCCAAACTTCATGTGGCCTTCAGATTAGCACAACAGTGCGTATAGAGCTTCATGGAATGGGTTTTTATGGCCGAGCAGCTGCATCCAAGCCTTATATCACCAAGTGCAATGCAAAGCGTCGGATACAGTGATGTAAAGCACGCCACCACTGGAATCTAGAACAGTGGAGACATGTTCTCCTGGAGTGATGAATCACGCTTCTCTGTCTGTCAGTCTGATGGGCGTGTCTGGCTTTTGGCAGTTGCCAGGAGAAGAGTACTTGCCTGACTGAATTGTGCCAAGTGTAAAGTTTTGGTGGGGGGGGGGGGGGGGGGATTATGGTGTGGGGTTGTTTTTCAGGGGTTGGGCTTGACCCCTTACTTGCTTGTCCCAATACTTGGCAATAAAGTCTGTTATTTCAGTTTTTATGTTTAGAGGTGCTTTATGATGACTCATACTGTGAAATTAAAAGTGTCAAACATGTTCATACGAAATCTCACAGTAGTGCAACAAATGCGCAACTTGCAACAGATTCATGTACGAGTCGATACGAAGTACATTAATCTGTTGTGGAATCGTCTGTGAGGATTTTTGTCTCATACAGAATTTTGTCTGTGACACATTACTTACACGTGTGACACAATCTACTCCAAAATGAAAGAAGTCCTTTTTATGGATATGGCTGTATTTCTCTATAAATTGTTCTAAAAATAGATGCAGAGAGCAAAAGTGTTAGGAATCAGCAGAATGGATGACCTGATCTACATGACTACACTCAAGAACCAGGGAACAGACTGCGTGCATGCTTTTAGTGAAATTTATTTACAGTGAAACAAAATCTATCCAAACACCAACACACAGCAAACATGAAGATAATGTGAACATAAACCATATAATATCTGGCTAATAAACCTAACAAACAGAAAGTCTAACTAACCATTATCTATAGTATTGTCAAGTACAGTACCTTGGTTGGAGGCCGGGTGGATGAGAGGGCTTCCCTTGTGGCTCTGATCTGAGCACCCTGGAATGTGGTGATAGAGGTACAGGGTTCAAAGAAGCATGGATGCCGATAGCTTGACAGTCAAGGACGTAGTCAAGGTGAGAAAGGGTCCTACATAGTGAGACAGCAGCGTGGAGAGGAGGCAGGCTGGGCTCGGTACCAGGTTAACAAGCAGAGCGAGTGTGTGAGGTCCTGTAGGAAGCCGAGGTCAGCACCAGGAGATCAGACAGAGAATAGTCAGAGGCAAGTCGAGGTCAGCACCAGGAGATCAGGCAGAAAGTAGTCGAAGGTCATAATCCAGAATCCACAGAGCAAGGTCAGGAACAAACTGGGTCTGCAACAGAAGATCAGTCAGTACAAACAGGAACACAGATCATAGGAAGCTGAAGAACATCCAGCAAATAGTACAAAGCAGTCTCCTTTAAATAGGCAACTTGGCGCCAATGCAGGGTGACATGTGCGCCGATGTTCGCTGGCACATAGGAATGCACCTAAATGTCAGTGCACGCTGGATATTAGCCTGGGCTCATCTGTGTGCTTGTACATGAGCATGGGCATTAGCTGCACAGGAATGAGAAGTGGCTGCAGTAAAATGCTAAATGTAGAAGAATTAGCATTAGCTGCACTAGTTTTCTGACAAATACAGTGGGGCAAAAAAGTATTTAGTTAGCCACCAATTGTGCAAGTTCTCCCACTTAAAAAGATGAGAGAGGCCTGTAATTGGCATCATAGGTAGACCTCAACTATGAGAGACCAAATGAGAAAAAAAATCCAGACAATCACATTGGCTGATTTGGAAAGAAATTATTTGCAAATTATGGTGGAAAATAAGTATTTGGTCACCTACAAACAAGCAAGATTTCTGGCTCTCACAAACCTGTAACTTCTTCTTTAAGAGGCTCCTCTGTCCTGCACTCGTTACCTGTATTAATGGCGCCTGTTTGAACTTGTTATCAGTATAATAGACACCTGTCCACAACCTCAAACAGTCACACTCCAAACTCCACTATGGTGAAGACCAAAGAGCTGTTGAAGGACACCAGAAACAAAATTGTAGACCTGCACCAGGCTGGGAAGACTGAATCTGCAATAGGCAAGCAGCTTGGTGTGAACAAATCAACTGTGGGAGCAATAATTAGAAAATGGAAGACATACAAAACCCACTGATAATCTCTTTCGATCTGGGGCTCCGCGCAAGATCTCACCCCATGGGGTGAAAATGATCACAAGAACGGTGAGCAAAAATCCCAGGACCACACGGGGGGACCTAGTGAATGACCTGCAGAGAGCTGGGACCAACGTAACAAAGGCTACCATCAGTAACACACTACGCCGCCAGGGACTCAGATCCTGCAGTGCCAGACGTGTCCCCCTGCTTAAGCCAGTACATGTCCGGGCCCGTCTGAAGTTTGCTAGAGAGCATTTGGATGATCCAGAAGAGGATTGGGAGAATGTCATATGGTCAGATGAAACCAAAATAGAACTGTTTGGTAGAAACACAACTTGTCGTGTTTGGAGGAGAGAGAATGCTGAGTTGCATCCAAAGAACACCATACCTACTGTGAAGCATGGAGGTGGCAACATCATGCTTTGGGGCTGTTTCTCCACAAAGGGACCAGGACAAATGATCCATGTACAGGACAGAATGAATGGGGCCATGTATCATGAGATTTTGAGTGCAAACCTCCTTCCATCAGCAAGGCCATTGAAGATGAAACATGGCCGGGTCTTTCAACATGACAATAATCCCAAACATACCGCCCGGGCAACGAAGGAGTGGCTTCGTAAGAAGCATTTCAAGGTCCTGGAGTGGCCTAGCCAGTCTCCAGATCTCAACCCCATAGAAAACCTTTGGAGGGAGTTGAAAGTCCGTGTGTCAGGAATCAAGGAATGACCAGAATGGTGTGGACTGACACAGGGAAACGCAGGTTTCAGGTATAGAATAATAATACAGGTTATTATTAGCCACCCAGATATATATATATATATATATATATATATATATATATATATACGCACAGTGAACAAACCAACCTTTCACTAATCTTAGTAGGTGCAGGAACACAGGCGCAGTCAGGGCTGGAGAGGTGGAACGGTCAGGCCGGCCGTAGGGTTCTGTAATGACCGTTTGGTGGTACCTCTAGTGGTCCCCAGGACAGGATTCCCCAGGGCGCGGAGTCTAAGTCCCAGCCTGCTTATTCACCAGGGCCCCTGATGGTGGGGATGGACTTGGAGCAGACAGGAACCAGGTCGTGGCCCCTGAGTACACCTGCTAGTGGTAGAGGGATCCGCCAGAGGTATGTGCAGGTACGGCTGGATCCGTGCAGGATGGATGGATGGCAGAGTAGTTAGTGTGGTCAGACGGGCCAAGTCAGCAACGTGCGGGCAGCAAGGTACCAAAGGAGCAGGCAGAGAATAGTCAAGGTCACAAGCCGGGTTCAGTAACTCACAGACAGCGCGGTACAGGGGATCAGACAGAAGGATGGTCAGGCAAGCCAGGGGTTCAACAGGAGATGGTAAGCAGAGGTCAGAATCAAGCCGGGTCAGCAACGAAGCAGGAACACAGGATACCAGGTACAGAGGCTCATGGGAAAACATACACCAAGGCCCAGAGCACAGGCCTGGTCATGCCTTATATACACCTTTCTGCAATCAGCCCCAGGTTTGGCTGATTGTGAGCTTCTGGCTGCTAAGAGCACCCGCTGGTCAGCTCTGGTACTGCAGCCCACACGGCAGGTGAGTCCCACCACCAGTGCTGAGAGCACCCGCTGGTCAGCTCTGGTACTGCAGCCCACAAGGCATGTGAGTCCCACCACCAGTGCTGAGTCCATTCCTGACAGTACCCCCCCCTCAAGGAGCGGCCTCAGGACGCTCCAAACAGTCCTTAGTGGGCAAAATGTTCCACCGCCCGGGTCAGGTAACTGGCTGAATATCCTACTGCCGGAGTAAACCCGGCTGGCTGGGTTTCCTGCTGGTAGACTTCTCTGTGTAGGAGAACCCAGGAAGGCAGGTCACTGGGCACAGGATTTCCAGGAGCAGGCTGGGTATCAGTTATCGGCCAGTTTAACTGGACATCAGGGCTGGCATGTCGGGCTGTGCAGCGGGCAGAGGCACGTCAGCAGGCACCGAGTCATCTGGCACGACAGCGGGCACAGAGTCACCGGGCACGTCAGCGGGCACAGGTCACCGGGCATGTCAGCGCGGCACCAAGCCTTCTAGCAGAACCGCGGGTACCGGGTCACCAAGCTCGACAGCAGGCACCAAATTAACTGGCACAACAGTGGGCACTGAATCAACTGGCACGACAGCGGGCACCTAGTCATCAGGTATCAGGTTATGTGGCTCAACAGCGGGCACTGGGTCCTCAGGCATCAGGTCATCTGACTCGACAGCGGGCACCGAGTCAACTGGCATGACAGCGGGCACCGAGTCAACTGGCATCAAGTCATCCGGCTCAACAGCAGGCACCGAGTCAACTGGCACCGAGTCAACTGGTACGACAGTGGGCACCAAGTCAACTGGCACGACAGCGGGCACCGAATCATCTGGCATCAAGTCATCTGGCTCAACAGCGGGCACCGAGTCAACTGGCACCGAGTCAACTGGTACGACAGCGGGCACCGAGTCAACTGGCACGACAGCGGGCACCGAATCATCAGGCATCAAGTCATCTGGCTCGACAGCAGGCACCGAGTCAACTGGCACCGAGTCAACTGGTACAACAGCGGGCACCAAGTCAACTGGCACGACGGAGGGCACCAAGTCATCAGGCATCAAGTCATCTGGCTCGACAGCGGGCACCGAGTCAACTGGCACCGAGTCAACTGGTACGACAGCGGGCACCGAGTCAACTGGCACGACAGCGGGCACCGATTCAACTGGCAGGATGGTACAGTGAATGGGAGCAGGGTACTGACATGTGGTAGATTGCTGGGTATACTGGGCTGTCACTGGGGGGGCTGTCACTGGGGGTGCTGTCAGGAATGCAGGAAAAGAGCTATGAGCAGAGGAATGATGAGAAACAGGACTGGTTCGTTGCAAGCTGATTGAGGCTGGGTGTAACAAGTCTGACCATGTCTGCAGTAAGGGTTGGACAACGCTCAGCTTACACAAGGCCTGTCTGGTCAAAGATTGCACTGCGTTTATACACTTCTTTAGCACATGTGGTGAACATGCTGAATAATGCTCCAAGAAGCAATCCGGATCATCCTCCAACAACCATACCAGTGATATTATTTGACCGCCCTGAATGGAGGAAGGAATTCATCCCTGCTTTCAGGGGTACTAGATGAAGCCAACTCAACACAAGCCTGAATCAATGGTTGCACCTCAGAGAGCTCTAGGTCCTGACCTACTAGGGAATGAGCGACCCGTATGCACTCTAGTAGCTGATCCCCCTGGTATACTCCCGCAGAGTCTGATAGGCATATTCTCTGTCATCAAAGACTAGCATAGACAAATATATAACCTCATCAGGATGCATCCTTCACAACAAGTCAAGATGGCTTCCCTGTGCAGCCACTTCTGGTCAGGAAAGGCCTTGGTGTGATGTCAGGAATCAAGGAATGACCAGAAAGGTGTGGACTGACACAGAGAAACGCAGGTTTCAGGTATAGAATAATAATACAGGTTATTATTAGCCACCCAGATGTATATATATATATATATATATATATATATATATATATATATATATACGCACAGTGAACAAACCAACCTTTCACTAATCTTAGTAGGTGCAGGAACACAGGCGCAGTCAGGGCTGGAGAGGTGGAACGGTCAGGCCGGCCGTAGGGTTCTGTAATGACTGTTTGGGGGTACCTCTAGTGGTCCCCAGGACAGGATTCCCCAGGGCGCGGAGTCTAAGTCCCAGCCTGCTTATTCACCAGGGCCCCTGATGGTGGGGATGGACTTGGAGCAGACAGGAACCAGGCCGCGGCCCCTGAGTACACCTGCTAGTGGTAGAGGGATCCGCCAGAGGTATGTGCAGGTACGGCTGGATCCGTGCAGGATGGATGGATGGCAGAGTAGTTAGCGTGGTCAGACGGGCCAAGTCAGCAACGTGCGGGCAGCAAGGTACCAAAGGAGCAGGCAGAGAATAGTCAAGGTCACAAGCCGGGTTCAGTAACTCACGGACAGCGCGGTACAGGGGATCAGACAGAAGGATGGTCAGGCAAGCCAGGGGTTCAACAGGAGATGGTCAGCAGAGGTCAGAATCAAGCCGGATACCAGGTACAGAGGCTCATGGGGAAACATACACCAAGGCCCAGAGCACAGGCCTGGTCATGCCTTATATACACCTTTCTGCAATCTCAGCCCCTGGTTTGGCTGATTGTGATCTTCTGGCTGCTAAGAGCACCCTCTGGTCAGCTCTGGTACTGCAGCCCACACGGCAGGTGAGTCCCACCACCAGTGCTGAGAGCACCCGCTGGTCAGCTCTGGTACTGCAGCCCACACGGCAGGTGAGTCTCACCACCAGTGCTGAGAGCACCCGCTGGTCAGCTCTGGTACTGCAGCCCACACGGCAGGTGAGTCCCACCACCAGTGCTGAGTCCCATTCCTGGCACCGTGTTGCCCAGCGACAGCCCCAAAACATCACTGCTCTAGAGGAGATGTGCATGGAGGAATGGGCCAACATACCAGCAACAGTGTGTGCCAACCTTGTGAAGACTTACAGGAAACGTTTGACCTCTGTCATTGCCAACAAAGGATATATAACAAAGTATTGAGATGAACTTTTGATATTGACCAAATACTTATTTTCCACCATAATTTGAAAATAAATTCTTTCCAAATCAGCCAATGTGATTGTCTGAATTTTTTTTTCTCATTTTGTCTCTCATAGTTGAGGTTTACCTATGATGCCAATTACAGGCCTCTCTCATCTTTTTAAGTGGGAGAATTTGCACAATTGGTGGCTGACTAAATACTTTTTTGCCCTACTGTATATACAAAATTAGGAACACAAAAAGGCAGTAGAAAACTGGAAGTGCAGGTAGCAGATGGGAAGGGGGAATAAAACTAGGAAAAGGAGTGAAGGAGAGCAGGAGGAAGGCAGCAGGGCAATGGGTACAAGGTACAGGGCAAGAGTAAGATCAGGATAACTGGCAACGAGATCTAGCAGCAGCAAAATGCTAGATCGAGGACCTAATTACCCTTCCAGCAGTCAGCATCAGGTGGAAACTGATTACTGGGATCTGCTGACTGCTGTGAGACACCGCTTGTTGACATTAGAGTTAAAAACCTCCATTCAGGGAAACAGTGTCACCAGCTGCTGATCTAGGTCCTGACAAAAAGTATCACAAGTAAGAGCAATGTTAAAGCGGATCTACACTAAACACCACAAAACAAAAACACTTTTAATATTTTTTTAGTATTCAAAGTAAACTCCCCCATCCATGTCTCCGTGCTTTATTTTGCTGAGAAAACACTTTCTAACATTTCTGAATGTGGCCATCTTGAATAAGGGCAGATGATTTATGTAGTATTTACTTCCTGAAATCTGTCTTCCCATAGCTTAAGCATGCAGGCAGGAGGGTGTGGCCCATCCTCCCTTTCCGAAGACTCCTGGGATGTATAACATCATTTGTCTAGGCATAGAAACCTGGAAGTATCTGAAGAAATGAATAAAAACAAGTTTAAAACAAGTAAATATAATATATCGTCCTATCTACTTGCTAATGCTAGCAGCATAGGGGTTGAAAATATTCAATGCTGATTGAGAGAGTGAAGTTCCACTTTAATTTGTGACATACGTCTGAACTAACAATGAAAATGTTGCACAGGATTCATGAATTTAGCACAAGGCGTACAACTACATTCACACTACTAGAAATGCATCACAAATGCCTTCCTGATTTGCCCCCAATCAGTTATCAAAACAACTAGCCTTATTTATCACAGCACAACACCGCAATATCAACCAAGAGCTTCTTCCATTTGTCAGCTGGTAAATATCATCATGAAACAGAGCTTTTCATGGAATCAGTCCACCCAGCAGAGTCCATTTTAGAGCTTCTTGCCCACTTTTTCTTCATCTATGAAAGGGAAAAAATATGTAATCCATAATATACTGTCCTGCTAATCGTTAGCGGACAGCTAGCTAACAAAACTGACAGAAGCAGCACTGTTTCATTCCAAACCTGAATGTACTTCTGTGAAATGGCCTGTAAAACTGCAATACAATCACATAAACTGAAGTTAAAATATGCTTGTATACATGTCTCTTACAAATGCATACAATAAACTCATTTCTTACAAACAGCTACCTACAAATTACATTGAATACAATGAAATATGATCTAGTTATGTATGTGACTTTGACAAACACAATGAAAGAATTCACAGGTATATGTGTATCAAAGGAAAAAGGAGGCCTTCACTGGTGTGTTCTTCTGGAAGCTAAACTGGAACTGGACTGATGTGTGAGTGAAACTTCCTGTTTCAGAAAAGAAGACTGCAATTGCAGGGAATGCCCATTAGATGACTCCCTACTCAACACAATAATGTGATACAGAACACTCTCCGCCTTGTATAAATATATACCACTATATATAGGTGAACTGCTTAAATTAGTCTGCTACTGTGATCTGCTGGGTTCTGATTGGTGGTAACATAATGCCACTGATGTACTGTACCTCAATTAATTTTCTGATGTGGTTTGATCTGTTTGAAACATACAAATAAAATCTTCTAGAAGTATTGTAAATACAGCCTAACACAATTTTTCTGCCAGTGTAATATTTAATTGCATCAAGCTCAAAGTCCATTTCTGCAAGAATCAGTTCTGCATATAACGGCTCTAAAGAACTCTAAACATGGCACTGTTTTGGATGGTCTTGGAGCTAGTTTAAATTTACCCATAATACTGTAAAGCCTACATGACATTATTCATTATTGTCTATGACCTTGAGATACGCTACAGCTGCTATCGCCACAGTAGGAGCATCAGAAAAGACACAAACCTCTCTTTGCACTGTAGATGTTAGCAACATTGGCACATAGGGTCTGGAAATACTGAGATCTTCCAGATGAATCAAGTCTTCTGCCCATGTTCTCCACTGGTTTCTCTTTCTGGCAAGAGTTGGGAGTCCCAGTCACATTGATCTTTTGAGGGCTCTCTAAATAAGGCTTTGCCTTGCATAGTGATTGGGTCTGTAAACTCAAGTGGGTCATAAAGACTGTTTACTGTGACTAGGACACCTCTCCGTGTGTATGGCTTCACCTCATTGGACACTTGAAAGGTAAAATTATTGGTCTGGAGATTCCAACTTACTCCTAAACTCAGTTGAAGAGGCAGAAGATCGACACCTAGAACAAGGTCTTTTAACTCTTTAGCTTTGTCATCTGCAAGAAATGCTTCCATTACTGAGCTTCTTTTGGACGCTACCTTATGTAGCTTAAGATTTGATCCTGCAAGCATCCAGTGGCATTGCTATAGGGGTATGGGGGGTGTGCACCGCACCCGGGTGACACCCTTTAGAGGGGTGATGCCAGGGTTTCCATCCATCCATAAAAAATGGCCAATGGATGACTTTGGAACTGCGTGTATGCCAACTGGGTTCGGACATATTCAGACATTTAGGACATTCCACAGGTAGCTCAACTACCTTGTGAAAAGAGATTCACAAGAAAGCGGCTACATTATGGACAGAATGCGATACTCAGAAAAATTTCCAAAAATTATACTTTATTACACATTAATAATTGACACTTGGGCAATCGCCCTGGTTTACCATCACCTCAGTATGAGACAATACACACAGACCTAAAACCATTAAAATCACACCAAGACCGGTCTGGATACATATGTGCTGCAGAGGCTATGACCACCATAGTCTAAAGCATTTGCAGCACCGCACATTGGTTACACTCCCTGTAGGAGGTTGACGTCATACGTCAGATACGTCACTTCCAGTCATGCGCATTGGCGATATGCACGCCGACCTACAAGGAGGCAGCCATTTTCACATGCCATGAGCTATGCAAAAGCTGTACAGGCGCCATGGAGAGGTTGGAACCCGCGAAATGTCGGCTGATGTAAGCGGCAGTTCCCTGGATCAACACGGCAGTACCTATGAAGGATATCTCTATTTTCTACTACCCATTGCACAGGTGGTGAGTGGACTGTTACAGGATTAACGAAGAAGGCTCCTTGCTACTTATACACTATATATTCAATAGAGTGAGAATACCCAGAGTGACTATTCCTATATTGTTTGTCTTATTACAGGATGGGGACATTATGATGCTTTATCTAGATGCAAGGCATACTACATATATTGCAACAGGCGGAAGACCTATTGGGCCTCATCTTATTTCAAATATTAAAGTGGTTTGTAGTCCACATGCTGTGGTGAAGAAACCATATAAAGCAGGCCTCTGCTATTTGCATCCATCTCTCCATCAAGACACTAACAGGGACTCTTTCATCTATAAGAATCTTTGCAATTATTTACGTATATTACAGATAAATGGGCCCCAACCACATGTGCCTCTACAGGGTTGTACTGTATGAATCCATTATCATATCATTGGGGTTCATCCCCCTCTTTTTTTCAATTTTTTACTCATATTGCCTTATATAGGCTTAGGGTTATGCTTCTCTCCAGGTGGTAACTGTATTTGCCTTTATGCTTGCATGTGATATTATATACCTATGGTACAATTTTTGAAAACACCTCCTTTAGGGAGTGTAACCTATGTCGTAACTATATGTGCTTATATGCATAGCATGTGACATTATATACCCATGGTATAATTTTTTGATAATACCTCCTACAGGGAGTGTAACCAATGTGCGGTGCTGCAAATGCTTTAGACTATGGTGGTCATAGCCTCTGCAGCACATACAGTCAGGTCCATAAATATAGGGACATCGACACAATTCTAACATTTTTGGCTCTATACACCACCACAATGGATTTGAAATGAAACGAACAAGATGTGCTTTAACTGCAGACTGTCAGCTTTAATTTGAGGGTATTTACATCCAAATCAGGTGAACGGTGTAGGAATTACAACAGTTTGCATATGTGCCTCCCATTTGTTAAGGGACCAAAAGTAATGGAACAATTGGATTCTCAGCTGTTCCATGGCCAGGTGTGTGTTATTCCCTCATTATCCCAATTACAGTGAGCAGATAAAAGGTCCAGAGTTCATTTCCAGTGTGCTATTTGCATTTGGAATCTGTTGCTGTCAACTCTCAAGATGAGATCCAAAGAGCTGTCACTATCAGTGAAGCAAGCCATCATTAGGCTGAAAAAAACAAAACAAACTCATCAGAGAGATAGCAAAAACATTAGGCGTGGCCAAAACAACTGTTTGGAACATTCCTAAAAAGAAGGAACGCACCGGTGAGCTCAGCAACACCAAAAGACCCGGAAGACCACGGAAAACAACTGTGGTGGATGACCGAAGAATTCTTTCCCTGGTGAAGAAAACACCCTTCACAACAGTTGGCCAGATCAAGAACACTCTCCAGGAGGTAGGTGTATGTGTGTCAAAGTCAACAATCAAGAGAAGACTTCACCAGAGTGAATACAGAGGGTTCACCACAAGATGTAAACCATTGGTGAGCCTCAAAAACAGGAAGGCCAGATTAGAGTTTGTCAAACTACATCTAAAAAATCCTTCACAGTTCTGGAACAACATCCTATGGACAGATGAGACCAAGATCAACTTGTACCAGAGTGATGGGAAGAGAAGAGTATGGAGAAGGAAAGGAACTGCTCATGAT